AAATGGGGAAAACTCCCAAAAGTGGGAGAGAAACCCTAAAAATGGGAGGGGAAAACCCCAAAAATGAGAAATTTACCCCAAAACCAGGGGGGAAACCCCAAAAATGGGAGAGAGACCCTAAACAGGGGGGAGGGACCCCAAAAATGGGAGAGAGACACAGAACAGACCCCAAAAATGGGGGAAAAAACCCAAAAATGGGAAATTGACCCCAAAACCGGGGGGGGAAAACCCAAAAATGGGGAGAGAGACCCCAAAAAATGGGGAGAGAGACCGAAAATAGAGGGGAAAGACCCCAAAAATGGAGAATTGACCCCAAAAATGGGGGGGAAAAATCCCAAAAGTGGGAGAGAAACCCCAAAAAATGGGAGAGAGGACCCAGAATAGACCCCAAAAATGGGAAATTAACCCCAAAACACAGGGGGGAAAACCCCAAAAATTGGAGTATAGAGACCTGAAAATAGGGAGGGAAAGACCCCAAAAATAGGGAAAAAAATCCCAAAAGTGGGAGAGAAACCCCCAAAATGGGGGAAAAACCCCAAAAATGGGAAATTTACCCCAAAACCGGGGGGGAAAAATCCCAAATAAAGGGGGTCAGAGTTCTGGGGGTTCCAGGAGTGGGGCAGAGAATTTGGAAAAAAGGGACAAAATCCCCCCTATGGGATGGCCAAAAATCAGACAAAAAATCGGGAAAAAATCCCCCCAAAAAATCCAAAAAAACCCTAAAATTGGGGGGAAATCCCAAAAAAATCCCAAATAAAAGGGGTCAGAATTTGGGGGTTTTAGGAGTGGGGCAGAGAGCAGAAAATTTCCCCAAAAATTGGAATAAAGGGGCAAAAGCCCCACTCTGGGATGGCCAAAAATCGCCCAAAAAATCAGAAAAGAAATCCCAAAAATTCCCAAAAGTTTCCCCAAAAATTCCCAAAAAATTCCCCAAAAAATCCCAAAATGGGGGGAAAATCCCAAATAAAGGGGGTCAGACTTTGGGGCTCCCAAGAGTGGAACGAAGAAATGGGAAAGGGGCAAAATTCCCCATCTGGGATGGCCAAAAATCGCCAAAAAATCGGAAAAAATTCCAAAAAAAAAAAATCAGAAAAAATCGGGAAAAATCCCAAAAAATCCCAAAAAGGGGAAAATCCCAAATAAATGGGGTCAGACTTTAGGGGGTACCCAGGAGTGGGGCAGAGAATTTGGAATAAAGGGACAAAATCCCCCCTATGGGATGGCCAAAAAATCGCCAAAAAATCAGAAAAAAACCCTAAAGAATTCCCAAAAAATCCTAAAATTGGGGGAAAAATCCCCAAAATTCCCAAATAAAGGGGTCAGAATTTGGGGGCTCCCAAGAGTGGAATGAAGAAATTGGAAAGGGGCAAAATTCCCCATCTGGGATGGCCAAAAATCGCAAAAAAATCGGGAAAAAATCAGAAAAAATCCCAGAAAATCCCAGAAAGTCCCGAAAATCCCAAATAAATGAGGTCAGAGTTTTGGGGGTTTCCAGGAGTGGGGCAGAGAAATTGGAATAAAGGGGCAAAATGTGTCCTATCTGGGATCGCCAAAAATCAGAAAAAGATGGGGAAAAAATCCCCCAAAAAATCAGAAAAAAATCGGGAAAAATCCCCAAAAAAATCGGGAAAAAAAAATGGGAAAAATTGGAAAAAAAAAAAACGGATGAAAAAAATCGGGAAAAATCCCAGAAAAATCGGAAAAAAGTGGGAAAAAAATCGGGAAAAATCCCAGAAAAATCGGAAAAAAGTGGGGAAAAATCCCCCAAAAATCCCAGAAAGTCCCAGAAAGTGCCGAAGATCGCGAAGATGGCGAAGATCCCGAAGAAGATCCCAAATCCCGGCCGGCTCCCGGCCTCAGTCCCTGCGCAGGTTCTTCAGCCGCTCCTCCAGGTCGGCGTCGGGCGTCGGCCAAAGCGGCCGCGGCCGCCTCGGCCCCCCCGCGCCCCTCCCCCGCCGCCAGGGAACCGCCCGGCGCCGGCAGCGCTGCGGACGGACGGACGGACGGACAGGAGGGAGGGATGGACGGAGGGAGGGATGGACAGAGGGATGGATGGACAGAGGGAGGGACAGAGGGATGGACAGAGGGATGGACAGAGGGATGGACAGAGGGATGGACGGACAGAGGGATGGACAGAGGGACGGACAGAGGGATGGACGGACAGAGGGATGGACGGAGGGATGGACAGAGGGGATGGACAGAGGGATGGATGGACAGAGGGATGGACGGACAGAGGGATGGACGGACAGAGGGATGGATGGACAGAGGGACAGAGGGACAGAGGGACAGACAGACAGACAGACAGAGGGACAGACGGACAGAGGGACAGAGGGACAGAGGGACAGACAGACGGACAGACGGTCAGGGATGGCACAGAGATCCCAAGGATCCCAACGAGATGAACCCAAATCCCCCAAAATCCCACCCAGAATAAAGCCAAAAATCCCATTAATCCCAAATCCCACCCAGAGTAACCCAAAATCCCTCCCTGATTGTCCCAAATCCCCAAATAATCCCACCCAGATTAACCCAAAATCCTGCCCAGATTAACTCCAAATCCCCAAATCCTGCCCAGATTATCCCAATCCCCCAAAATCCTGCCCAGATTATCCCAAATCCCCCAAAATCCTGCCCAGATTAACTCCAAATCCCCAAAATCCTGCCCAGATCTATCCCAAATCCCCCAAAATCCTGCCCAGATTATCCCAAATCCCACAAAATCCCACCCAGAATAAACCCAAAGAATCCAAACCAGATTATCCCAAATCCCAAAACTATAACGCCAAAATCAACCCAAAACCCCACCAAGATTATCCCAAATCCCAAAGTCCCACCCAGATTACCCCAAAAATTCCTCAGAGAACCCCCAAATCCACCCAGGCTATCCCAAATCCCATCAACCCCAAAATCCCTCCCACGCTGACCCCAAATCTCACAAAGAGCACCCCAAAATCCAGCCCAGATCATCCCGAATCCCAAAACAATCCGACCCAGGTTATCCCAAATCCCCCCAAAATCCCGCCCAGATTAACCCCAAAAATCCCATTAACCCCAAATCCCACCCAGATTGTCCCCAAATCCCATTAACCCAAAATCCCACTAAAATTAACCCAAAATCTCACCAGATTATCCCAAAATCCCAAAATCCCACCCAGATGATCCCAAATCCCAGTAACCCAAAATCTCACTAAAATTAATCCCAAATTTCACCCAGTTTATCCCAAAATCCTTCCCAGATTATCCCAAATCCCACCCAGATTATCCCAAAATTCCCTGAAATCCCCCCCAGATTCCCCCAAAATCCCCCCAAATCCTCCCCAAAATCCCCCAGATTTCCCCCAAATCCCCCCAAACCCCTCAAAACCCCCAAACCGCCCCCAGAATCCCCCCAAACCCCTCCCAGACCTTCCCCAAATCCCCCCAAATTTTCCCCAAATCCCCCCAAAATTCCCCAAATCCTCCCCAAAATCCCCCAAATCCCCCCAGTTTTCCCCCAAATTCTCTCAAAACCTGCCAAACCCACCCCCCAGATTTCCCAAAAAATCCTGCAAAAATCCCCCAAAACCCCCAAAAATCCACCCAAATCCCCCCAGATTTCCCCCAAAATCCCCCAAATTCCCCTCAAATCCTCCCAAAAGAAACCCTGAAATCCCCCCAGATTTTTACCAAAATCCCCCCAAAATCCCCCAAATCCCCCAAAACCTTCTGAAATCCCCCAAACCCCCCAGATTTCCCCCAAATCCCCAAAAAAATTCCCCCAGATTTCCCTCAAATCTGCCCAAAATCTCCCCAAAATCACCCAAAAATCCTCCAAAAGCCCCCAAAAATCTGCCCAGACTCCCCCCAAATCCTCCCAAATCTCCCCCCAAAATCCCCAAAATTCCCCCCAGAATCCCCCAAAACCCTCCCAGACCTTTCCCAAATCCCCTCAGATTTTACCCCAAATCCTCCCAAAATCCCCTGAAATCCCCTCAGATTTTACCCAAAATCCCCCAAAATCTTCTGAACTCCACAAAACCCCCAGATTTCCCCCAAATCCCCAAAAAATTCCCCCAGATTTCCCTCAAATCTCCCCAAAATCTCCCCAAAAAAATCCTCCAAAAGCCCCCCAAAATCTGCCCAGACCCTTCCCAAATCCCCTCAGATTTTACCCCAAATCCCCCCAAAATCCCCAAAATCCCCCAAAATCTTCTGAGATCCCAAAACCCCCCAAAATCCCCCGAAATCCCCTCAGATTTTACCCCAAATCCCCCCAAAAATCCCCCGAAATCCCCTCAGATTTTACCCTAAATCCCCCCAAAATCCCCTGAAATCCCCCCAGATTCTCCCCAAATCCCCCCCAAATCCCCTGAAATCCCCTCAGATTTTACCCCAAATCCCCCAAAATCTTCTGCAATCCCCAAAATTCCCCAGATTTTCCCCAAAATCCCCCCAAATTCCCCTCAAATCCCCCCAGATTTTCCCCAAAATCCCCCAAATTCCCCTCAAATCCTCCCAAAATCCCCTGAAATCCCCCCAGATTTTCCCCCAAATCCTCCCCAAAATCCCCCAAAATCCTCTGAACTCCCCAAATCCCCCCAAAATCCCCCCAAAATCCCCCCAAAATCCCCCCAAAATCCCCCCAAAATCCCCCGCCCCCCCGCACTCACTGGCCAGCTCCTCGGTCAGGTTCAGCCCCAGCTCGTCCAGAACCTGCGACACCACGGCGTCACTGGGGAGGGAAACAAACTGGGATATACTGGGATGGACTGGGATGGACTGGGATGGACTGGGATGGACTGGGATGGGAAACTGGGACCTGGGACACCACGGCGTCACTGGGGAGGGAAACAAACTGGGATAAACTGGGATGGACTGGGATGGACTGGGATGGGAAACTGGGATGGGAAACTGGGACCTGCGACACCACGGCGTCACTGGGGAGGGAAACAAACTGGGATAAACTGGGATGGACTGGGATGGACTGGGATGGGAAACTGGGACCTGCGACACCACGGCGTCACTGGGGAGGGAAACAAACTGGGATAAACTGGGATATACTGGGATGGACTGGGATGGACTGGGATGGGAAACTGGGGCCTGGGACACCACGGCATCACTGGGGAGGGAAACAAACTGGGGATACTGGGATGGACTGGGATATACTGGGATGGACTGGGAGGGACTGGGAGGGACTGGGGTGGACTGGGATATACTGGGGTATACTGGGATATACTGGGATGGGAAACTGGGACACTGGGACACCACGGCGTCACTGGGGAGGGAAACAAACTGGGATAAACTGGGAGGGACTGGGAGGTACTGGGATGGACTGGGAGGGACTGGGAGGGACTGGGGTATACTGGGGTATACTGGGATATACTGGGATATACTGGGATGGACTGGGATGGACTGGGATGGACTGGGATGGGAAACTGGGACCTGTGACACCACGGCGTCACTGGGGAGGGAAACAAACTGGGATAAACTGGGATATACTGGGATATACTGGGATGGACTGGGAGGGACTGGGAGGGACTGGGGTGGACTGGGATATACTGGGATGCACTGGGATGGGAAACTGGGGTAGACTGGGACAGACTGGGACACTGGGACCTGGGACACCACGGCGTCACTGGGAGAGAGTGGGGATACTGGGATATACTGGGATGGACTGGGATGGACTGGGATGGACTGGGATGGACTGGGATGGGAAACTGGGACGGACTGGGACGGACTGGGACCCTCTCCATGCCCGTGTCCCCTCAGTGTCCCCAGGTGTCTCCTGGCTCCCCACCAGGTGTCCCCAGCCGTCCCCAATGTCTCCCCTGTGTCCCCCAGGTGTCCCCAGGTGCCCCCAGCTGTCCCCATGTGTCCCCATGTCCCCCCAGATGTCCCCATGTCCCCCCAGGTGTGTGCCCAGGTGTGTCACCATGTCCCCATGTCCCCCCAGGTGTCCCCATGTGTCCCCATGTCCCCATGTCCCCCCAGGTGTGTGCCCAGGTGTGTCCCCACGTCCCCATGTCCCCCCAGGTGTCCCCATGTCCCCATGTCCCCATGTCCCCCCAGGTGTCCCCATGTGTCCCCATGTCCCCATGTCCCCCCAGGTGTCCCCATGTGTCCCCACGTCCCCATGTCCCCCCAGGTGTCCCCACCTCTCGTCCTCGTCGTCCTCGTCCCCGAGGGCGTCGTCGATGGCGTCGTTCATCAGCTCCTCCTTCATGTCCATGAGCTCCGACTGCTTCTGGAACTCCTGCAGGATGCGCTGGATCTGCGGCAGCTTCAGCTGGGGACAGTGGGGACAGTGGGGACACTGGGGACACTGGGGACAGTGGGGACACTGGGGACAGTGGGGACAGTGGGGACACTGGGGACATTGGGGACACTGGGGACATTGGGGACATTGGGGACATTGGGGACATTGGGGACAGTGGGGACATGGGGACATTGGGGACACTGGGGACATTGGGGACATTGGGGACATTGGGGACATTGGGACACTGGGGACACTGGGGACACTGGGGACAGTGGGGACATTGGGGACATTGGGGACACTGGGGACATTGGGGACATTGAGGGGATTGGGGACATTGGGGACATTGGGGACATTGGGGGCAGTGGGGACACTGGGGACACTGGGGACATGGGGACAGTGGGGACAGTGGGGACACTGGGGACACTGGGGACATTGGGGACACTGGGGACATTGGGGACACTGGGGGATTTGGGATATTGGGGACAGTGGGGACACTGGGGACACTGGGGACACTGGGGGCAGTGGGGACATTGGGGACATTGGGGACACTGGGGACATTGGGGACATTGGGGACTTTGGGGGGATTGGGGACATTGGGGACATTGGGGACAACGGGGACACATTTGGACATCAGGGACATTGGGGACATTGGGGGGGATTGGGAGGATTGGGGACATTGGGGACATCAGGGACAATGGGGACATTGGGGACATCGGGGGATTTGGGACATTGGGGGTATCAGGGACATTGGGGACATTGGGGTGTGGGGACATTGGGGACATTGGGGACACAGAGGGGACATCAGGGTGACCGCAGGGACAGCAGCGTGGCGATGGGGACAGCCTGGTGACCACAGTGCCACCACCTGTGACAGGGTGACACCGTGGCCTGGGTGACCGTGGTGACACAGGTGATACAGGTGACACAGTGACACACAGGTGACACACAGGTGACACACAGGTGACACAGTGACACACACAGTGACACACAGGGACACACACACAGTGACACAGTGACACACACAGTGACACAGGGACACACAGTGACACACACAGTGACACACACACAGTGACACACACACAGTGACACACACAGTGACACAGGGATGTCCCCAGGTGTCTCACCTGTCGGTTCATGGTGGCCATGGCCCGTGTCACCCCCCTCATGGCGGTGGCCATGGCGCTGTGTGACCGCAGTGACACACACACAGTGACACAGTGACACACACAGTGACACAGTGACACACAGTGACACACAGTGACACACACACAGTGACACACACACAGTGACACACACACACAGTGACACACAGGTGACACAGTGACACTGACCTGTCGGTTCATGGTGGCCATGGCCCGTGTCACCCCCCTCATGGCGGTGGCCATGGCGCTGTGTGACCGCAGTGACACACACACAGTGACACACACACAGTGACACACACACACAGTGACACACAGTGACACAGTGACACACACACACAGTGACACAGTGACACTGACCTGTCGGTTCATGGTGGCCATGGCCCGTGTCACCCCCCTCATGGCGGTGGCCATGGCGCTGTGTGACCGCAGTGACACACACAGTGACACACACAGTGACACACACAGTGACACAGTGACACACAGTGACACACAGTGACACAGTGACACTGACCTGTCGGTTCATGGTGGCCATGGCCCGTGTCACCCCCCTCATGGCGGTGGCCATGGCGCTGTGTGACCGCAGTGACACACACACAGTGACACACACAGTGACACACACAGTGACACACAGTGACACACAGTGACACAGTGACACACACACACAGGTGACACAGTGACACTGACCTGTCGGTTCATGGTGGCCATGGCCCGTGTCACCCCCCTCATGGCGGTGGCCATGGCGCTGTGTGACCGCAGTGACACACACACAGTGACACACACACAGTGACACACACACACAGTGACACACAGTGACACAGTGACACACACACACAGTGACACAGTGACACTGACCTGTCGGTTCATGGTGGCCATGGCCCGTGTCACCCCCCTCATGGCGGTGGCCATGGCGCTGTGTGACCGCAGTGACACACACAGTGACACACACAGTGACACACACAGTGACACAGTGACACACAGTGACACACAGTGACACAGTGACACTGACCTGTCGGTTCATGGTGGCCATGGCCCGTGTCACCCCCCTCATGGCGGTGGCCATGGCGCTGTGTGACCGCAGTGACACACACACAGTGACACACACAGTGACACACACAGTGACACACAGTGACACACAGTGACACAGTGACACACACACACAGTGACACAGTGACACTGACCTGTCGGTTCATGGTGGCCATGGCCCGTGTCACCCCCCTCATGGCGGTGGCCATGGCGCTGTGTGACCGCAGTGACACACACACAGTGACACACACAGTGACACACACAGTGACACACACACACAGTGACACAGTGACACACAGTGACACACAGGTGACACAGTGACACTGACCTGTCGGTTCATGGTGGCCATGGCCCGTGTCACCCCCCTCATGGCGGTGGCCATGGCGCTGTGTGACCGCAGTGACACACACACAGTGACACAGTGACACACACAGTGACACAGTGACACACAGTGACACACAGTGACACACACACAGTGACACACACACAGTGACACACACACACAGTGACACACAGGTGACACAGTGACACTGACCTGTCGGTTCATGGTGGCCATGGCCCGTGTCACCCCCCTCATGGCGGTGGCCATGGCGCTGTGTGACCGCAGTGACACACACACAGTGACACACACACAGTGACACACACACACAGTGACACACAGTGACACAGTGACACACACACACAGTGACACAGTGACACTGACCTGTCGGTTCATGGTGGCCATGGCCCGTGTCACCCCCCTCATGGCGGTGGCCATGGCGCTGTGTGACCGCAGTGACACACACAGTGACACACACAGTGACACACACAGTGACACAGTGACACACAGTGACACACAGTGACACAGTGACACTGACCTGTCGGTTCATGGTGGCCATGGCCCGTGTCACCCCCCTCATGGCGGTGGCCATGGCGCTGTGTGACCGCAGTGACACACACACAGTGACACACACAGTGACACACACAGTGACACACAGTGACACACAGTGACACAGTGACACACACACACAGTGACACAGTGACACTGACCTGTCGGTTCATGGTGGCCATGGCCCGTGTCACCCCCCTCATGGCGGTGGCCATGGCGCTGTGTGACCGCAGTGACACACACACAGTGACACACACAGTGACACACACAGTGATACACACACACAGTGACACAGTGACACACAGTGACACACAGGTGACACAGTGACACTGACCTGTCGGTTCATGGTGGCCATGGCCCGTGTCACCCCCCTCATGGCGGTGGCCATGGCGCTGTGTGACCGCAGTGACACACACACAGTGACACACACAGTGACACAGTGACACACAGTGACACACAGTGACACACACAGTGACACACACACACAGTGACACAGTGACACTGACCTGTCGGTTCATGGTGGCCATGGCCCGTGTCACCCCCCTCATGGCGGTGGCCATGGCGCTGTGTGACCGCAGTGACACACACACAGTGACACACACAGTGACACAGTGACACACAGTGACACACAGTGACACACACAGTGACACACACACACAGTGACACAGTGACACTGACCTGTCGGTTCATGGTGGCCATGGCCCGTGTCACCCCCCTCATGGCGGTGGCCATGGCGCTGTGTGACCGCAGCGTCTGCACCCGCAGCGCCACCCCCTGCACGTTGGCCCGCATGGCGATGAACTTGCGCTCGTAGCGCCGCGTGCGCACCAGGTCCTTGGCCAGCACCCGCACCGCGTCCTGGGGACACGGGGACATCAGGGGACATGGTTAGGGACATGGGGACACAGGGACACAGGGACAGGGACACAGGGACAGGGACACAGGGACGCAGGGACACAGGGACACAGGGACACAGGGACAGGGACACAGGGACAGGGACAGGGACACAGGGACACAGGGACACAGGGACAGGGACACAGGGACAGGGACACAGGGACGCAGGGACACAGGGACACAGGGACACAGGGACAGGGACACAGGGACACAGGGACAGGGACACAGGGACACGGGGACACAGGGACACAGGGACAGGGACACAGGGACACAGGGACACAGGGACACAGGGACAGGGACAGGGACACAGGGGATACAGGGACACAGGGACACAGGGACACAGGGACAGGGACACAGGGACAGGGACACAGGGACACAGGGACAGGGACACAGGGAAAGGGACACAGGGACACAGGGACACAGGGACACGGGGACACAGGGACACAGGGACAGGGACAGGGACAGGGACACAGGGACAGGGACACAGGGACACAGGGACAGGGACACAGGGACACAGGGACACGGGGACACGGGGACACGGGGACACAGGGACACAGGGACACAGGGACAGGGACACAGGGACACAGGGACACAGGGACAGGGACACAGGGACAGGGACACAGGGACACAGGGACACAGGGACACAGGGACAGGGACACAGGGACACAGGGACAGGGACACAGGGACAGGGACACAGGGACACGGGGACACAGGGACACAGGGACAGGGACACAGGGACAGGGACAGGGACACAGGGACAGGGACACAGGGACACAGGGACACAGGGACAGGGACACAGGGACAGGGACACAGGGACACGGGGACACAGGGACACAGGGACAGGGACACAGGGACAGGGACAGGGACACAGGGACAGGGACACAGGGACACAGGGACAGGGACACAGGGACACAGGGACACAGGGACAGGGACACAGGGACAGGGACACAGGGACACAGGGACAGGGACACAGGGACAGGGACAGGGACACAGGGACACAGGGACACAGGGACACGGGGACACAGGGACACAGGGACAGGGACACAGGGACAGGGACAGGGACACAGGGACACAGGGACAGGGACACAGGGACAGGGACAGGGACACAGGGACAGGGACACAGGGACACAGGGACACAGGGACAGGGACACAGGGACACGGGGACACAGGGACACAGGGACAGGGACAGGGACACAGGGACAGGGACACGGGGACACAGGGACACAGGGACAGGGACACAGGGACAGGGACACAGGGACAGAGGGACATGGGGACACAGGGACACAGGGACACAGGGACACAGGGACACGGGGACACAGGGACACAGGGACACAGGGACACAGGGACAGGGACACAGGGACAGGGACACAGGGACACAGGGACAGGGACACAGGGACACAGGGACACAGGGACACAGGGACAGGGACACAGGGACAGAGGGACATGGGGACACAGGGACACAGGGACAGGGACACAGGGACACAGCGATGAACTGGCGCTCGTGGCACCGCGTGCACACCAGGGCCTGGGCCAGCACCCGCACCGCGTCCTGGGGACATGGGGACAGGGACACAGGGGACATCGTTAGGGACACATGGGGACAGCGTTAGGGACAGGGACAGGGACACAGGGACAGCACGCTGGGGACACAAGAGGACGCAGGGGACAGGGTGACAAACATGGGGACAGTGTCAGGAACAAGGTCAGGGACCGGAACAGTGTCCTGGGGACACAGGGGACACAAGTGACCGGGTTAGGGACACGGGGACAGCGTCCTGGGGACACAGGGGACACAGGTGACCGGGTTAGGGACACGGGGACAGCGTCCTGGGGACAGCAGGGACAGGGCCAGGGACACAGGGGACAGCAGGGCTGGGGACACGGGCACAGCAGGGGACAGTCGTCAGGGTTAGGGACAGGGACATGGGGACAACGTCCTGGGGACATGGGGACACTGTCAGGGACATGGGGACAACAGGGGACAACAGGGGACAGCGTCCTGGGGACACAGGGGACAGGGTCAGGGACATGGAGAGGGACAGAGGAGACAGCATTAGGGACAGGGACAGCAACACAGGGGACACAGGGGACAGGGACATGGGGAGTGTCCTGGGGACACAGGGACACAGTTGGGGACAGGGACAGGGAGACAGGGACAGCATTAGGGACATGGGGACAACGTCCTGAAGACACAGGGGACACAAGGGATCAGGGTTAGGGACAAGGACAGCGTCCTGGGGACACAGGGGACAGGGACAAGGGACAGAGGGGGCAGCAGGGACAGGGACAGTGTCAGAGACACGGGGACAGCATCAGGGACAGGGACAGGGACAGGGACAGGGACAGGGACCTGGGGACAGCAGGAATGGCAGGGACCGGGTTAGGGACACAGGGACAGGGACACAGGGGACACAGGGGACAGGGTCAGGGACAGGGGACACAGGGACAGGGACACAGGGGACACAGGGGACAGGGTCAGGGACAGGGGACACAGGGACAGGGACACAGGGGACAGGGGACACAGGGACAGGGTCAGGGACAGTGCCAGAGACATGGGGACAAGGGACAGCGTCAGGGACAGTGGGGACATCGCCAGGGACGTGCAGGGACAGTGAGGGGACATCAAGGGGACATCAAGGGGACATCCCCTGGTCCCTCCATGTCCCCAAGACCCCTCTGTGTCCCTTGTCCCCAATCCCCTCCCACCCATCTCCCCTCTGACCCTGCTGTCCCCTCTGTGTCCCCTCTGTCCCCAGTGTCCCCAGTGTCCCCAGTGACCATCTGTCCCAGTGTCCCCCAGTGTCCCCTCTCTGTCCCCTCTGTCCCTGCCATAACCTCAATGTCCCCAATGTCCCCAAACGCCCCTTTGACCATCTGTCCCTGCCATGTCCCCCCAATGTCCCCAATGTCCCTCTGAATGTCCCCCCAGTGTCCCCCAATGTCCCCATGTCCCCTCTGATCATCTGTCCCTGCTGTCCCCCAATGTCCTCACTGACCATCTGTCCCCAGTGTCCCCCACTGTCCCCACAATGTCCCCAGTGTCCCCCGTGTCCCCCCAGTGTCCCCAATGTCCCCAATGTCCCAGCAATGTCCTCCCAGTGTCCCCAAACATCCCCAGTGTCCCCTGTCACCCGATGTCCCCAGTGTCCCCCCACTGTCCCCAGTGTCCCCTCTGACCATCTGGCCCTGTCATGTCCCCAATGTCCCCAGTGTCCCCAAGTCCCCTCTGACCACCAGTCCCTGCTGTCCCCTCAATGTCCCCAAATGTCCCCAAATGTCCCCTCTGACCATCTGTCCCTTCTGTCCTCAATGTCCCTATGTCCCCATTATCACCTCAGTGTCCCCAATGTCCCCACAGGCCATCTGTCCCTGCTGTCCCCAATGTTCTCAGTGTTCCCAATGTCCCCAAATGTCCCCAATGTCCCCCCAATGTCCCCAATGTCCCCAATGTCCCCAATGTCCCCCCAATGTCCCCCCAATGTCTCCAATGTCCCCAATGTCCCCAGTGTCCCCCCTGACCATCTGTCCCCAATGTCCCCAATGCTGCCCCAATGTCCCCATTGTCCGCAATATCCCAAATGTCCCCAATGCCCCCTAAATGTCCCCAATGTTCCCCCTCTGTCCCCACTGTCCCCAGTGTCCCCTCTGACCATCTGGCCCCATTGTCCCCAATGTCCCCAGCGTCCCCAATATCCCAAACGTCCCCAATGTCCCCACTGTCCCCAATGTCCCCTCCGAACATCTGGCCCCGCTGTCCCCTCTGTCCCCAATGTCCCCAATGTCCCCAACATCCCCGATGTCCCCAGTGTCCCCCCAGTGTCCCCCCAGTGTCCCCAGTGTCCCCCCAGTGTCCCCAGTGTCCCCAGTGTCCCCAGTGTCCCCCCAGTGTCCCCAGTGTCCCCAGTGTCCCCAGTGTCCCCAGTGTCCCCCTGACCATCTGGCCCTGCTTGGCCATTTTCTTGATGTCCATGATGATTTTCTTCTCCTGCGCCTCGAGCTTCTGCCGCTCCCGCTCCAGCTCCCGCACGGCGCGGGCCAGGGCGCGCTGGTTCTGCCGGAGCAGCTCCTCCGGGGAGCGCCTGCGCCCGAACAGCAGCTCCATGGGACACCTGGGGACACTGGGGACATCGGGGACATCGGGGACATCCATCAGAGTGAGCACAGTGACACACAGGGACACACAGGGACAGTGACACACAGGGACACACAGGGACAGTGACACACAGGGCCAGGGCGCGCTGGTTCTGCCGGAGCAGCTCCTCCGGGGAGCGCCTGCGCCCGAACAGCAGCTCCATGGGACACCTGGGGACACTGGGGACATCGGGGACATCGGGGACATCCGTCAGAGTGACACACAGTGACACACAGGGACAGTGACACACAGGGACACACAGGGACAGTGACACACAGGGACAGTGACACACAGTGACACACAGAGTGACACACAGTGACACCCGGGTACAGCCATCACACAGTGACACACAGTGACACACAGGGACAGGGCACACTGGTTCTGCCGGAGCAGCTCCTCCGGGATATGGGGACACTGGGGACAGTGATGGGACACTGATGGGACACTGGGGACATTGGTGACACTGGGGACAGCAATGGGACACTGGGGACAGTGATGGGACACTGGGAACAGCAATGGGACAATGGGGACAGCCATGGGACACTGGGGACATCAAAGGGACACTGGGGACAGTGATGGGACACTGGGGACAGGAATGAGACACTGGGGACAGCAATGGGACACTGGGGACAGTGATGGGACACTGGGAACAGCAATGGGACAATGGGGACAGCCATGGGACACTGGGGACATCAAAGGGACACTGGGGACAGTGATGGGACACTGGGGACAGCAATGAGACACTGGGGACAGCAATGGGACACTGGGGACAGTGATGGGACAATGGGGACAGCAATGGGACAATGGGGACAGCAAAAGGACACTGGGGACACTGATGGGACACTGGGGACAGCAATGGGACACTGGGGACAGCGATGGGACACTGGGGACACTGATGGGACACTGGGGACAGTGATGGGACATTGGGGACAGCAATGGGACACTGGGGACACTGATGGGACACTGGGGACAGGAATGAGACACTGGGGACAGCAATGGGACACTGGGGACAGTGATGGGACAATGGGGACAGCAATGGGACAATGGGGACAGCAAAAGGACACTGGGGACACTGATGGGACACTGGGGACAGCAATGGGACACTGGGGACATCAAAGGGACACTGGGGACAGTGATGGGACACTGGGGACACTGATGGGACATTGGGGACAGCAATGGGACACTGGGGACACTGATGGGACACTGGGGACAGTGATGGGACACTGGGGACACTGACGGGACACTGGGGACAGTGATGGGACACTGGGGACAGCCATGGGACACTGGGGACACTGATGGGACAATGGGGACAGCGATGGGACACTGGGGACAGCGATGTGGGGGCACACGGGGGTGTGGCAGCACCTGGAGATGGGGACAGGGGACAGGGGGGGACAGGGGGAGGTGACACCGCCCCGGGAGGGGACAGGGGGGTGGCACACAGGGACAGAGTGTGACACAGGGACACGGAGGGGACACGGAGGGGACACAGGGGGACAGGGAGGGACACGAAAGTGACACACGGGGACTCGGAGGTGACACAGAGATGGCACACGGGGGACTCGGACGTGACACGCGGTGACACCGGAGGTGACACGGCCCCGGGGAGGTGACACCGGAGGTGACACAGGGGGACAGGGAGGTGACACACAGGGATGAGGAGGGGACAGGGAGGGGACAGAGAAGGGACACAGGGGGACAGGGGGGTGACACACAGGGACACAGGGGGACATGGAGGGGACACGGAGGTGACACAGGGGGACACAGGGGGACACGGAGGTGACACAGAGGGACAGGGGCGTGACACGGCACCAGGGAGGGGACACGGAGGGGACACACAGGGACAGAGGGGTGGCACAGGGGGACAGGGAGGGGACAGAGAAGGGACACAGAGGGACAGGGGGGTGACACACGGCGACACAGGGGGACACGGAGGGGACACACAGAGACAGGGGTGTGACACAGGGGGACACGGAGGGGACACGGAGGGGACACAGAGGGACAGGGGGGTGACACGGCCCCGTGGAGGGGACACGGAGGCGACACACGGCGACAGGGAGGTGGCACAGGGGGACACGGAGGTGCCACACGGTGCCACACGGTGCCACAGAGGTGCCACACGGTGACACACGGTAACACACGGTGACACACGGTGACACACGGTGACACACGGTGACATCAGAAGTGCCCGGGCCGGTCCCGCGCCCCCCCCGCCCCTCAGGGCCCCCCCGATCCCTCAGAGCGGCCCCGAGCGGCCCCCGCGCCCCTCCGGCCCCACCGAGCCCCCAAAACTGTCCCGGAACGTCCCCGAATGTCCCCAAATGTCCTCGAATGTCCCCGAACGTCCCCGAACGTCCCCGAATGTCCCCGAATGTCCCCGAACCCCCCGAGCGCCCCCGGCCCTCACCCGGCTCCGCACCGGCACTTCCGCAAACAATGACGTCACCGCGCTTCCGGGCACGCGACAGCGCCTCAGACAGGGGAGGGGCGAACCATAGAGGAGGGGATGGAGCGGCCACTTCCGGTACGGGAGCAGCGAGAGGAGCGGCCGGAGCGGCCACTTCCGGTGGGGAGCAGAGAGAGGAGCGGCCGGAGCGGCCACTTCCGGTACGGGAGCAGAGAGAGGAGCGGCCGGAGCGGCCACTTCCGGTGGGGAGCAGCGAGAGGAGCGGCCGGAGCGGCCACTTCCGGTGGGGCGACACCTGGCGGCCAGGAGGTGTCCGAGAGGGTGGGGGTACTGGGACATACTGGGGATACTGGGATGTACTGGGATGTACTGGGATGGGAACTGGGGGTACTGGGAGTGCTGGGAATGGATACTGGGGTGTACTGGGATGTACTAGGATGGGAACGGGGGATACTGGGAGTGCTGGGAATGGATACTGGGATGTACTGGGATGTACTGGGAATGGAACTGGGGGTACTGGGAGTGCTGGGAATGGAACTGGGGGTGCTGGGATATACTGGGATATACTGGGAGTGGAACTGGGGGTACTGGGATATACTGGGATATACTGGGGATACTGGGAGTGCTGGGAATGGATACTGGGATGTACTGGGATGTACTGGGAATGGAACTGGGGATACTGGGATGTACTGGGAATGGATACTGGGATGTACTGGGATGTACTGGGATGTACTGGGAATGGAACTGGGGATACTGGGATGTACTGGGAATGGATACTGGGATGTACTGGGATGTACTGGGATGTACTGGGATGTACTGGGAATGGAACTGGGGGTACTGGGATGTACTGGGAATGGATACTGGGATGTACTGGGATGTACTGGGAATGGATACTGGGGTGTACTGGGATGTACTGGGATGTACTGGGAATGGAACTGGGATGTACTGGGATGTACTGGGGTGTACTGGGATGTACTGGGATGTACTGGGAATGGATACTGGGGTGTACTGGGATGTACTGGGAATGGAACTGGGGATACTGGGATGTACTGGGAATGGATACTGGGATGTACTGGGATGTACTGGGATGTACTGGGATGTACTGGGAATGGAACTGGGGGTACTGGGATGTACTGGGAATGGATACTGGGATGTACTGGGATGTACTGGGGTGTACTGGGATGTACTGGGAATGGATACTGGGAATGGATACTGGGGTGTACTGGGATGTACTGGGATGTACTGGGATGTACTGGGATGTACTGGGGTGTACTGGGAATGGATACTGGGATGTACTGGGAATGGATACTGGGATGTACTGGGATGTACTGGGAATGGAACTGGGGATACTGGGATGTACTGGGAATGGATACTGGGATGTACTGGGATGTACTGGGATGTACTGGGAATGGAACTGGGATGTACTGGGAATGGATACTGGGATGTACTGGGATGTACTGGGGTGTACTGGGGTGTACTGGGATGTACTGGGATGTACTGGGAATGGAACTGGGATGTACTGGGATGTACTGGGATGTACTGGGATGTACTGGGAATGGATACTGGGATGTACTGGGATGTACTGGGATGTACTGGGAATGGAACTGGGATGTACTGGGATGTACTGGGATGTACTGGGAATGGAACTGGGATGTACTGGGATGTACTGGGAGGATTCCGGGTTTTCTCAGTGTTTGGGGCATTTTCTGGGCGTTTTTAGGATTTTTTGGGGGATTTTTTTTCATTATTTGGGGATTTCTCTGCAGGTTGGAGAATTTTTAATGGGATTTTCTCAGGATTTATTGGGGATTTTGGGTGATTTTTTGGGGATTTTCTCAGGATTTATTGGGGATTTTTGGGGGATTTTCTCAGCTTTTATTGGGGATTTTTAATGGGATTTTCTCACGTTTTATTGGGGATTTTTGGGGATTTTCTCAGGATTTATTGGGGATTTTTGGGGGATTTTCTCAGCTTTTATTGGGGATTTTTAATGGGATTTATTTGAGATTTTTAATGGGATTTTCTCAGCTTTTATTGGGGATTTTTAATGGGATTTTCTCACGTTTTATTGGGGATTTTTGGGGATTTTCTCAGGATTTATTGCGGATTTTTGGGGGATTTTTGCAGGTTTTATTGGGGATTTTTAATGGGATTTTCTCAGGATTTATTGGGGATTTTGGGGGGATTTTTGCAGCTTTTATTGGCGATTTTTTCAAGTTTTATTGGGGATTTTTTGGGGATTTTCTCGGGTTTTATTGGGGATTTTCTCAGGTTTTTTTGGGAATTTTTGGGGGATTTTTGCAGCTTTTATTGGGGATTTTCTCAGGTTTTATTGGGGATTTTCTCAGGTTTTTTGGGAATTTTTGGGGGATTTTTGCAGCTTTTATTGGGGATTTTCTCAGGTTTTATTGGGATTTTTAATGGGATTTTCTCAGGTTTTATTGGGATTTTTATTGGAGATTTTCTCAGGTTTTATTGGGATTTTTAATGGGATTTTCTCAGGTTTTATTGGGATTTTTAATGGGATTTTCTCAGCTTTTATTGGGGATTTTTGGGGGATTTCCGCACC